ATACAGATAAGCTGCTAAATTAAGATAAAGTGATTTCCCCAAGACCACACAATCAATCGATGACAGACCATGTTGAACCTCAGATTTTGTGTGTGATGGATGCATTTTTAATGATAAAATACTGTTTTCTCATCTATACTCTTAAATTTCTTAATCTCAGATACTTATTTCTCACTGTGGCTCCCTTTGAGAAGATTCAAATAAAATTTATTATTCTTTTTTTTAATGTTTTTATTTATTTATTTATTTATTTAGAGAGAGAATCTCAGGCTGGAGTGTAGTGATGTGATTATACGTCACTGCAGCCTCAAACTGCTGAGCTTAAGTGATCCTCCCTCCTCAGCCTCCTGAGTAGCTGAGATTACAGGCACACTCCACCACATCCTGATATTCTTTTAAAAATTTTTACCTTTCTTTTTTTTTTCTTTTTTTTCTAGAAACGAGGTCTCACTGTGTTGCCCAGGCTGGTCTCCAGCTCCTGGCCTCATATGGTCCGCCTGCCTCAGTCTCCCAAAGAGTTGGGATTATAGGGGTGAGCCACTGCACTTGACCTTTTCATAGTTTTATATAAGTAACACATTATTGTTAAAATTATTGCACCATTTCTAAAAGATTTCTATTTTCAGTTAACTTATTTAGTGAATTTACCACGAACTTATTCTTTTTAAAAACTAAATCTTTAACTGAAATTGTAAATTTGTTAAACATATAGAGTAGCATACAATTATTTCACATTTTTTAATTTTAAAAATATCTTCAAGTATGTACATTAAATTTGATTAAGTGATAATTAGCAAGTATTCAAATGAATTGATTTAATAGTACTTTTTTTGAAAAAAAATGAACACGATCTCTTTAATTTTGCAGACAAATTGAAGACCAAATTCAGGAGACCTAATATGGTCTGCTGACTCTTTCAGTGTGTGGAATGTGCTGAAGAAACTTTCCTGTGATAATGTAACTATAACTCACAGATAAATTCCCTGGCCTCAAGACATTATTTTAATGACCTCTTACTCTCAGTTCTTTTTCATTTTCCTTTTTTGATTGTTCCTGGGTTTACTTATTTATTTACTTGTTTATTTATTATTATTTGACCAAAAATAATCTGAATTACATTATTAAGTAGCTGATGGTATAATTTTTCATGTCTGGTGCAATCATATAGTTTAACCACAAATCAATACTGGAAATAACTGTAACACCAAACATTGACCTATATTTCCTAAGCATACCATCAGTATATTTTTCGTGATAGTCTAGAAATCTATACAGACCAAATGTTGATAAATTACATTGAAAAAAACATAGTCACTTTTAAAACCCCAACTGAGAAGAGCAAATAGATAATGAAATATTGCATAACTTGAGATTTCCTAAAGAGGCCTATGAATAGAATCCAGGCTTTGGACTAAATCAAGACAACAGGCTGGCCTCTTAGACCAGCCCTCATATTGTCCACATTTTACTCCATGCTCACAAGCCAGCAGTCAAATCACAATGTTTTCTGGATGTTTTAGGATATGGGGTTTTAAATTCTATTTCATCCTATGACTTTTCTTATCAATATCACTAATGAAAAACATTAATCCTCTTTCATAAACTAGAAAATTATGACACAAAGTGATAGATTCTTTGAAGGCCAAAATGAAAGTTGTTAAAATAACCTCAGGTCAGCTAGGTTTGTCCAATTGATATAGAACGTGGTGTCAATTTTGAGTAATAAATATTTTTAAACCAAGTCCAGCCTGCATTGACTATCATTTATATTTCTACCATTAAGAGATATAAAGAAAATGACTGCCAAATTATCAGGAGGGTACCATATTCCCTATGCTAAGAGATGTTAAATATAAGGGGTGTGCCTGCCATACAGTAATAAGCAGGATTTTTTTGGATGAATGAATGGTTGCTATTGGAAATTAGTTATCATAACTCAGATAGAGCACTTGTTTCCAAAATACTCTCAAAATCACTGAATTTGGACTTTCCAGTATCCAACAAAGTAGGTATCCTTGACTCATGAGTGTTTAGCTATCAGCTGTATGTAAATTATTGTGCCTTCATTAACAGGTAAAACATCCCCAAATTTAAGGAAGAAAAATTAATCTTCAGTGGACTGAGTGACTTGTAGACTATCTTATGGCCAGCAGTTAAAGAATTCTGATCATTTGACTGTCAGGTACTACATATTTCCCTACAACGTAATGTGGAACATGTGTCATGCCACAACGTGCTGTCTCTCCCAGTGTATGCTATATGCTCACGCTGCTGAGCTACACAGGAAGAAAACACCAAATAAGAGGTCTCTCTCCCTGTGAGTCCTATTCCATAACTCACTGTACAGATTTCTGGTAAGGTGAGATGACTATGGAAATGATTTCTAGCTTACAATATGCTTTTTTTTTTCCCCTAGTGGTTTTTTGTTTTGCTCGACAATGCCAGGTGAATAAGCAGGCTAGCTGCCTGGAATATATAAATCTTTACATGGTCAAAAAAAGCCAATTACTAAATAATAGCAATAGCCGTTTCTTATTTTTATATTTTTTGAAAATGTTTCATCTTGGTTCAAACCCAAGTAAATAACTCCAAAGGCAAACTGTGGGCATAAGAATCCAATATAATTTCATGGTATTAATAATTACATTAAAATATGTAACTAAGACTTATAAGGTCTATGCAAAAATTAATCAAGAAGTGTTTTTATAATATTTTGGAAGAAGGCAATTGAACGGATTCCAGGCCTCATTTTTAATTATCCTCTGCTCCTATATACACTTTACATTTTCTAGATTATGTAATCCTATCTCACTTTTCCCTTTTGTCTCAAATGTAAGCAACAGCCAAGAACACTTAACCTTATCCAATAAAACTTTTTTTTTAATGGGGAAGAGATACTGAATTACTGTTTGCTACTCCCAAGACTTCATGCATCCTTTCTCTTTAGCAAAACAAAATAACTATCAAACCAAATAGTTGCTCTTAGTAGGATACAGATATCCCTCAATAAAATGCTAATTTTTCTTTAAAAACAAGTGATTCTATGCGTTAGTTTCGACTACCCACTTTCTTGTTTGTCTGTTTGACTATCTGCTTTGCAATCAGAGATTAGCATTAGGCAGGCATTAAGTTGCATTGCCAAACTATTTCAATGTAAGGACATTTCCCTAGAGATAAGGATTGACAAGGGCTTCCGTGAACTTTCATGAATTGGGGGTGAACTAGAGCTATTTATTTCTGTGACTAAATCTCCTAAGGGATTAGGCAAAGGTAACTTTCACTTTGTGAGATTTCAACTACACGTAGAGAAAGCCTGCCCCCTCTGTCCCTGAGAAGGGAACTGCGGTCATATACCCACAGGAGTGCTTCTTGAAACAGATTCTCTGCTTTTATTTTATGTCCTACTGACTAGGGGAGTCCCTTATGTTAATTAATTGACAACCGAAATAATCATCTAACAACATGCTGTAACTCTCTTAAAATATGATTAAGTCTCCCATGTGATATTTTTACTTCCATACCTCTCCCGTTGGGGAAAAAGGATTGTGTTAAGAGCATATTGTAGGTTTCCTGGGAAGGAACCCAAATCAATGATACATGTTTCTGCTCCTCAGATAATCATTCTTGACCTATATAGGGCAACAGAGCCCCCAAGGAGCTCGATGACAAAGATGCCTCTGCTCGCTTTCTGCTAAGCAAGCAGGTTCATGGTAAGTGGTGACAGTTAAGAATGATTTTTCCTCAGAGAGTAATTGCTTCACTCAGCCAACATAAAACAAGAGGACATCAGCCCACCAATGAATGCCACTCTAACAGCCTCCAATGATTTTTTTGTGTTAAAATTGAGAAGGTACGCATAGATGTGCATTAGAGGCATCTTCTTAACAGTTACACATAACCAGTGAAATTAAAAGTAAAACCGAAACAACTGTAATTTTTCAAAGCGGCAAACTCTTTCCATGAGTTGATTGTGCATAGCTCATCACATGTATTTACATGACTGTAAAATTCCATCCTTGCAAGTCGAAACTCTTCGCTGAACTAAATGTACTCATTGGAATTGATCGAGTTCTTAGTGAAACGTCAGGCACGGGTTATAAATTTGTGTAACTGCTTTTGCCCAGTGAACCCTTTTTATTAAAGCAGAATGCTTATCAAGGTCAATGTGAAAGATTGTAATTTTAAAGCTCCAGGGGAGGACTAGAAATAAGAATCAACAGAAAACAGATTTAATTAGCATTTTAAAGTTTATGGTTTGTCAAGAACCTATTGGCCCCTTTCACTTTCCGGATTTCAGTGACAAGTGTATTTTGTAGAACTATTAAATTAGAATGATTTTGAAATCCAGCTCTTTTAAAGAGGCACACTAAAGCTTCTCGTTTACTGCCTTCTGGCAGATCGGGTTTGAGAAAGCAGTCTTGAGCTTTAAAAGGCTGGAAAGAGGACGCTAAGTAGAAATATGAGTGTCTTTTTAGGTAAGATTCTACAGGTGTAGGTATGCTTGGGGGTCGCCACGGAGTGAGTAATCTGGTGTGTATGTATACATGTGTTTGTTCCCGTGCATAGTTTGGTAAATTATAACCATATAGAATGTGTTAAAGGGCATGGTTAACCCCTCTCTATTTTAACTTTTTGAGTCTTGTGTAACACAGACAGGATCACTTTTAATGGCATACATAAGACAACAAAATTATCTTATCAAAGGTCAGATTGTATTAGCTTTGGGAAAAAATAAACAAGATATGCACAGATTCAAAAAGCTATTTGATAAGCAATAAGAAAAATGGCCAGCTAAAAGTTTACCATAATTATATAAGGCAACATATATGTTATTCTGATTCTTCTTGTCACACAATGATCCAGAAACAGTTATTTTAAAACAAAATAGCTTATCTCCCCCTTAACCTAAGGAGAAATTACACTGCTTGTGTTCTTTCTGTTAAGACATAAGACAAGTCATTAGAATTTTGAAAAGCAAAAATAATAGTGCCATCACTTACCTGCCGAGCAGTGAAATTAGATGTCTTTTCAGTTTCTCTAACGCAGAATTCTGAGTAGATCTCCAGTCTCTTTTCACAAAGCTATTTCCAAAACAGTTGCAATCCACTTAGGACCATTCTGCTTATTTCAAGAAGTGTGGGCCTTTGAGCATTTCGACCCCAATTGCGCCGCCCATGATTTCTCAGAGCTTCTAAGAACTTCTACTTTACTCTTCTGCCAGAATTCCTCCCAGGCCCCTATAGAAAGATAATTCTTCAAGTTGCTGCCGAGAGTTTAATCTGCGGAGCAAGGGTACTCCTCAGAGTCCTGTCCTTAGGTACAGCAGGTGTAGAGGTAGGGGTACTTTTCATCCATCAACGAAGGGGACCGGGAAGCGAGTGGGTAATAAGAGCCACCGCCTTTTAGCTGCGAGGAGCAAGGAGCCCAGCTGCCCGTGGCGACGACAGTGGCGGCAAGGACAGCGGCGGCGGCAGCGTAGTTCGGTCCCTGAGGCTGCAGCCCAGTCCGGAGACGCTGTCCATCCCCTCTGGTGCTGAAGTAAGGGGACAGGAGGCCCCAAGCCCAGCTCCAGGTCGCACTTTCCTCCACCAGCGAATCCAAACAGCAGCTTCCTTGTCTTCCAGCCCAGCTTCCTCCCCTCCGGTGCTCTTTTTTTTGGGTAGGGGTTAATTGTTTCTCCAAAATGATAGTCTCATACTTATTTGGCGTCCACGTTTCCGGAAAGACAGGAATCCTTGGGAATTAACATCTGAGCCTCCCCTGACTTTTCAGTGGCCCTGAACGAGTTTCCTAATGCTAGAAATGAAAGGGAACGCACGCACAGGCGCGCGCACACACGCGCACGAGAGAGAGAGAGAGAGAGAGAGAGAGAGAAAGAGAGAGAGAGAGAGAGAGAGAGAGAGGGGAGAGATGAATAAATATAGATTTGTACTGTGGAAAATCCAGAGCTGCTTTGGAAAGCTCGTGGGTCTCTAATTACATAAGATGAAAAGGGCTATTTTGGAAGGCTCCGCGATCTTGATTACCAATTAAGGGGACCACATTCAAATTTTGAGAAACGCAATTTGAAATTCCTAAATTGAACCCAGTGAAGAGTCTTAGAACCCTCCACTCAGAAACGACAGGTTATTGTTAAAATTTTAAAAGACTGAGCACGAAAGAATGAAAAAGACAAGAAAAGGCATCTCCACTCGGCTACCTTTTAAAACGCTGCTGAATTGGATCGGGATCGGTGCAGAGCCTCTAAGCGGATCCGGGGACGCAGCTCCAGTGAGTGTCGGCGCTGGGCTCCGCGAGCAGGGAGCTCGGAGGCTGCATTCCCAGGGCAGCGCTAGTGAGCCGCCCACAGCCTGGGCTCCTGCAGGGGGGCAGGAAACGGCTTCTTTCACAAAGAACTGGATAAGAAAGTGCGAAGTCTGGCACAGGGCTCGACCACCCCTGCCTTTGGAAAGCCGGAGCGACTCCCAATGTACCCTGCTTTTTTGCCTGGGTTCTCAGCTCATTTTCCCTCTGGTCTACCGCGCTGCCCCCTCTTCTCCCAACTCTGGAGTGCGCGCTCTCCCGGGCCTGGCAGGCTCCTCACTCTGGCTTCAAACAGCCCCCACTCGTGTCTGTTCCACTGCTCGTGGCAACTGGCTGACACCGAGGGTACGAAGGGTCCGGGTGCGCGGTCTCCAGTGCTGTCACCCGGGGCTCCGCCACCCACACTCGGCCACGGGTGCAGGCGCTAGTGGACTGAGACGGGAAGGGGAAATAAACAGCGTTGAAACTGTTGGAAAACTGGCCAAAACCAGGGCCACGCGGACCTTGGAAACTATGTGGAGTAAGAGGGAAGATGGCAAGAGGGGCACCGTAACACTGCCGGCCCTTGCGGGCTCCTAACTTGTGCAGTGCAGATTTCTGCACCAGGAGGTTGTGGATAGACTTGCCAGGAAATTCGAGAAAGACTGGTGAGGAGCGCGGCAGTGTGTGGTGGGGACGGGGGTCGGGGAGCGGCGGGCGCAGCACGAATTTCTCCCGGGCCCTGGGATGGGGCTGGACGCACGCTCCCGGCCTCCTTTCCGCGGGGACTTCTCAGGTTCTTCTTCCTCCCGCTCTGACACTAGAGGGAAGTCCTAGACGTCGTGCTTTCTTTCCTCCCACGCCTGCTTCCATCAAGGCTAGTCTAGTCAAGGACTTCCATCTAGTCTAGTCAAGGACTAGGGCGCGTTCCCGCTGGTCTGGAACCGTCGTTCCAGGTAGGGGATCTGCCTTCCCGGGGACATCGCACTCTCCAGTCACCCGCCCAGGGCGCGCGCGGCGGGTGCGCGAGGAGGCGGCGCAGCCAGTGGAGTTGCAGAGGGCTCCCTGGAGGAGAAACGTTACTGAGCCGGGAATCACTCGAGACGGAGAACCAAACAGGCAGAGTCTTGACTCACAGGAAAAGGCCAGGCTTTGGTTGGACTTTGAGCCATTTTGCTGCGGCAGCAATGGCTTTATTTCCCTGCGGTGGCCACCGGCCGCCACCGCGGATCCCCAGCTCCGGCTGGAGAAGGCCGCGCTGCGCTCCGCGCATTGCAGGCCGCGGTCGCTGTGTGGAGCTGCACACGCAGGAAACGGTCGCCGTGGAACGAAGCCCTTGGTCAACTTTCTCTAATACGGTCCTTTTTAACAGAAGCTCTATTAAAGGATGTGCTTCTCTCCAAAACCGTATTTGGGGAAGCCATCTGACTCACGGAGACACAGAAACCTAAAAGGAGAGTATCTGCTGCTTGAGGCTAATTCTTAAGGGGATCTTGTGCTTTCCAGTCCGAGTGAAAACAGATTTCTTAGGGTTACGTTAAGTGAACTTTCCCTTTTCCTTAGACAAATGTGGACAAACATGTGCTTCTTGTATATGCAGAAACAATACCTGTCGTGTGTAGAAATAGGTTTCAGAAAATGCCCCCTTTTTGTTAGAGAAGGAAAGCAAACCCCCTGTGTGAGGGTTACGCTAGTCGAGGCCATCCCTCCTTGTCAGCAAAGAGGCTTTCCTCTACTGTATGTAATTCTATGCCTATTTAGGTTGATTTACTTGATTGTTTAAATTATTTTCTCGGGACATGTAGGAACATAAGTAATCACAGAAAATCAACACACCAAATAAAAGCATTTAAATGAGGCACAGAGTACAAAGATGTTGCTAATTAAAAACATATGCGGGCCGGGCGCGGTGGCTCACGCCTGTAATCCCAGCACTTTGGGAGGCCGAGGCCGGTGGATCACGAGGCCAAGAGATCGAGACCATCCTGGTCAACAAGGTGAAACCCCGTCTCTACTAAAAATACAAAAAATTAGCTGGGCATGGTGGCGCGTGCCTGTAATCCCAGCTACTCAGGAGGCTGAGGCAGGAGAATTGCCTGAACCCAGGAGGCGGAGGTTGCGGTGAGCCGAGATCGCGCCACTGCACTCCAGGCTGGGTAACAAGAGCGAAACTCCGTCTCAAAAAAAATAAATAAATAAAATTAAAAAAAATATATGCACTTGATTATTCAGACCTAGAGGAACAGATTCTCTTGTTCCTGTTTAAGACTGATTGAGTTTTGCGCAGTCTCTCTCAATCTTTCTCTCACTGTCCCTCTGTCCTGCCAGTAAAAGGAAACAGAAACAGTTGATTAATTTGAACTGACAGTCCCAATGTGATCATGATAGTTTGATGTCTTTTTTTCGAGAAGCAAAATCCACTTTATATTTTTTCTCATCAAGTTGTATAACCAGTTATGGAAATCAAGATGATGAAAATTAAATGCGGCCTAATATCTGATGCTACAAATGAATATAAATGAAGTACGACATAACAAAACCAAGGGACAAATAAATTGAGGTGAATTAAAGAATTATGGTAAATTTCACCCTGGGAAAAAATTTTTCAAAGTTTACTTTAAATTATTTTTTTGATTCTTAATTTAGGTTGCCATGATATTAAAAATATAAACATAGTAAAATGTGACTATAAATCATCAAAACAATATAGGAAGCCTTATATGCACAAGAAAATGTGGTAACCTAGTATCATTACTGTGAATGCTAAACTGGATCATTCAATCCCTCTCTACAAAACTAGGATACAATTCCCCTCCAGTCCACCCTACGCAGTGTACATATCTTAGAAAACATAATAGTTTGTGGAACATTTTGGAAACCATCGGAAGTCCTTTGGGTCAGGGAGTTTGAAAAGCAAGGCCAAGCCACCATACAATATGATCTAAATGAATACTCATTATACGCTATGTGAAACACTGACACTGACTGTGTCACTTCCACAAGCCTCCTATTTTCACGTCTTGCTTCCATATATAAGATGTGGATATTAATAATAATTTCTGCTAACCTCGTAAACCATCATATGCAAAAATCAGCATATGTACGTAGAAACTTTGTATACCTTAGATATTTCTACAAAAAATAGGTAATAGCACCGATCATCTGCAGAGTACCTTTGCTCACAACTTGTAGACATCAATTGAAAGACTGGTGGTTTCATTTAAATGCTCTATTTTTAGTTAATATATATTTCTAATTATTTCTGTGTTTACTTCATGTTTCCCAATAGAGATAGAGCTGTAATAGGCCAATACTCATATGCAAACCCTTTTCAGCTCACTGTTTTAACACCTTCAGTACAATTTTGAGCTGATTTTTAAAATTGTGTCCAAGTACGGCTAAATATTACATATCTATTACCAATTATTTCTGAGCTGGAACAATGATCTTATTTAAAAATACCGTTCTATGGGTTTTCAGATGAAATGTTACTGAGCTGTGTATTCTTTTGTCCCCTCTGAATGCAAGATCTCTTACTCAGTCATAACTTTACTCAGCTAAAGATTTCTGTTTTGCTGAATTGTAGTCAGATACATCTGTAGACTTCATAGATGTTTGCACTTGTGTCAAGTTGAGCTTAGATAACTTCACTTGTATGCAACTTCAGTTGTATGCAAAAGTTAACTTCAGTTGTATGCAACTTTGTTTCCAAAGATGGAAATTTGGGCTCAAATGACAGAGGTACAAAAGTCTGTCCCTCAGATTAGTTTAATTTTTATTTTGGAGGAGGTAACAAGTGGCTGTCAGAGAAACTTAGAAAATTAGGTACTGTTAACTGCAACTGCCTGGGAGAGATATTTTATTTTACAGAGCAGTTCCCTAAGCACTTTCCTTTGTATTTCTATTTTTTTGATTCATAAAAATTCTGAAGTTGAATACTGATTTACTTGACAGAGTGCTACTTTCTGCCACTTAGGTAAGTTGCTTAATCTTTTTGAGTCTGTTTATTCACTTTAAAATGAAAATAATGCAACTTATTTAGTAGAGCTAATATATAGCACCTGCCTCAAGGTCTTGTGCATAAAATCCTCCATGTGACAGGCAGTACCCTCTCTAGAACATCTGTCCATGCCTCTCTGACAGGAACAGTGCTGCAGAGAATTTTTCCTGTTCATTAACATCAAGCAGGAAATACGGCTGTATTTGAAATGTTGTATAAATAAACTTTGTATACAAATATGTGGAAATTCCACACACAAGATTTCAGTACTATGGAAATCCCTTCACAGCTCAATAGATCATTCATAGTAACAAGTTGCTAACCGCTGGGAAAAAAAATCCTTATAGAATATGCTGCTAATTTGGCCTAGGGTTTAAAATAGTTTCTAATTGCCTAGTAGCTGTACTCCTTTCTAATAAGCATACACATACATACATCAGTAGCTTCCTTCTTAAAATAAATGTGTGTGTGTCTGTGAATGTGTGTGCACATGTGTGTGCACAAGTGTGTATCTAGGCATGTGTGCTTATAAATGTGTGAATGCATATGGACTTCTAAAAATAAATAAATATTACATTGATACTTCCAGTTGGTGTTTGATATTTGCAGAAGAAAATTTTTGGAAAAATTATCTAAAGTGATCTTTAGAGAGCTATTTTTTTTCACCCTCTAGTATATCATTTTCTCTCTACAGTCAGCTAATTAGCTTCTCTATTAAGATACCAATGAGTTCTCTATCTCCAAAGCCATCGTCAGTCATTATTTGGCCTTCATTATATTTAACTCATCTTACCTGACTTGCAGGCTGCCTTTGACTCATTCAATGACTTTCTATTTTTTGAAACACTCTTCTGTTGGCCACTATGACCCATTCACACAAATGGCCATTTTTTCTCAGTCTTTCTTGATGACAGCTTATTTGCTTCTACTTCTTATTATTGGATTTCCACAGAACATATTTCTGCAGAACTTACCTGCATTATCTGCCTACATAGTTTCATTCATTCCCACTGACATCCAAATCTGTAGGGGAGTCCTTAAAGATACTCATATGGAGAGAAAGAGACACAATTTATATAGACGACATCTCTAGCTGAATGCTTACTAGAGATCTCAAACTCAATGTATCCAAAACAACATTCTGGACCACCATCACAGAGAAACTTTCTCTGACCATGTCTCTATCAAGTATTGCATCATTACACACCTGCTTAAAGCTCACAACCAACTAGTCATCTCTATGTTTATATTCCTTCACCTACAGTCTCCAAAAAGTCAACGAAGAATATTGTTCCTGTTACTAACATAGCTTCCAAATCCATGCAATTCTTCCAATATAACCTTTCATTCCAGTTCAGTCTGCTAGAGTTTCTTATCAGTACTGATGCAGTCTACTGATTTATTTCATTGTGGCATGTTTACCCCCTTGGAATCTTTTCTCTGCATAGCAGTAGGAATAAATTTATGACATGAACTATGCCATATTGCCTAACCCTTCAAAAGTTTTCTAATGCCATGTCTAGCTTTGTATGTCTAATTCTTATTTTATTATTCTTTCCTTCTTGCTTACCTGCATTCCAGGTTTTCACACTGGACTCTGCCTATGCCATTCCCGTTCCCATAATCTGAAATACTACTTCTAGATCTTTACATGGCTGCCCCTCTTTTTTCCCTCGTGGTCTCAGATCAAACATCACATTCTCTAAGAGGACTCTTCTGACTAGCTAACTTAGTAGGGCTGCACAGTCTCTGTCTGTCCACCAATTAGCTTTAATATCTTTAAAGAAAGCATCATTGCAAGCAGAAATTATTGCTGTATAATTGATTTTGCTCTTTCTCAACAACCTAATGTCACATCTCAAGGAACTAGGAAAACAAGAACAAAACTAACAGAAAAAAGAAATAACAAAGATCAGGTCAGAACTAAATAAAATTGAGACCCCAAAACTATTCAAAGCTTTGACAAAACTAAAAATTGTTTATTTGAAAGTATAAACAAAGTTGATAGACTCCTAGATAGATCAGTCAAGGCGAAAACAAAGGAAATTACACTAAACACAATAGAAAATAGCAAAGGTGACACTACAACTGACACAGGTATACAAAAGATCCCCAGAGACTACTGTGAACACCTCTATGTGTATAACTAGAAAACCTGGAGGAAATGGGTAAATACCTGGAAACATAACCTCCCAAGGCTAAACCACGAAGAAATTGAAAACCTGAACTGACCAATAATAAGTTACAAAACTAAATGTATTTTTAACATTCTTAATTTAAATTGCCATGATTTTAAAAATGTAAACATAATAAAATGTGAACATAAATAATCAAAACAATATATGAAGCATTATATGCACAAGAAAATGTAGTAACCTAGCATCATTACTGTGAATCTTAAACTGGCTCATTCAATCCCTCTCTACAAAACTAGGATACAATTCCCCTCCAGTCCACTCTACACAGTGTACAAATCTTTAAAAAATAGTAGCTTGTGGAACAGTTTGGAAATCAGAAATAATAATTGAAAAAAAATCTACCAGCCAGAAAATTCCCAGGACCAGATGGTTTCCTATCCAAATTCCACCAAATGTACAAAGAAGAGCTGGTGCAAATCTTACTGAAACTATTCAAAAAAATTAAGAAGGAGGGATTCAATCCTAACCCAGTCTACAAAACCAGTGTATCATCCTGATGCCAAAAGCTGGCAAGGACACAACAGTAAAAAGAAACTACAGGCCAATGTTCCTGATGAACACAGATACAAAAATCCTCAGCAAAACACTAGCAAACTGAATCCAGCAGCACATCAAAAACATTATTCATCACAATTTAATGGGCTTCATTACTGGGATGCAAGGTTCATCAACATAGGCAAATCAATACACGTGAAACACTACATCAACAAAATTTAAAACAAAAATCAGATGATCGTCTTAATAGACACAGAAAAAGCATTCAATGAAATCATCTCCCTCTATAATACAAGCTGCACGAAAGCAAACACCTTGTGTGCCTTGATCATCTCCTGTACTAGAACAATGCCCAGCAGAGTGTAGATGCTTAGTAAGTGGTTCAGAATTAAACAACCAAAGAATAAAGTTGTATGATAATCACTGAGCAAACAAAACTAAACCAAAGAGTGTCTTTGCTCTTCAGATTTCAGAAATATTTGTTATTTATAGGCATGAGAGCCTTAATGTTGCAGTTATTTCCCATAATAATGACTTTTTAAAAACATATATTTCCACATTTTCAATGTTGCAATAAAGAATTTATTTTTACAGAGGTTTACTTTGTATGCCTCTACAATTCTAACTTTTTAGTATAATTACTGGGATGGATATTCTTATGTGAAATTGCTAAAACTATTCATAGTCTGGCAAAAAAAAAGTAAAGGCACAGAAACAGATTTCATTGTAAATGTTCCCCATGCACTTTGATCTGATATTCTTATGCTTTCATTATCTTCACTTCATGATTTCTACTATCTTTACTTTTCATCATCTTCACTTTCTTTTGCAGAAAGAATAGTATGTGATTGTTTTGCTGCATCATGAGTAATAAAGTCTTTTATCTCTAATCCTGGAGTCTTGTTTTAACTGTGGCAAGCTAACTTTTCAACTTATAAGTAGGGCAAAATCTCAGTCCCTTCATGGTTCTTGACCCTGGAGAACAGAAAAACCTCATAGTGTGACTGAAAAGAATGTGAATTTACCCAAGTGATGGTGCTAAAACAGGCAGTTCTGTGACTCTGACCTTTAGCTGCCAGTTTATTTTAACCCCAGTGAAGGAGAGAAATGAAGTCAACATCTAACATGCTTCACAACCCATGCTAGAAATAAATATAAGAATGTTTTTAAATTTCACTTATGATGTTTTTCAAGTTATTAAGACAAATCCATAGGCAAGTCAATTGGTGATAGCAATTGATGCTAACCTAGTTTTCAAGGATCTGATCCTTGCCAGTGTGTTCTTCCTTGAAACCTTGAAAATTTGGCTAAATGACCACTGGTTCTAAATGTGGCAGCATAGTCTTTAAATATGAGGACACTAAGGGGGCTGAAACAGTGCAGCTTCCATGAACCGACTAGGTTAACAGATTTTTAGTTATAATATTGCCATTTGTAGCTAAGACAAATTTATTCTGTCTTTGCTGAAAGGGGAATAAAAATATATACCTAGCCGTCTTAGCACTCTTCATTTTACAAAATGTTCATACATTTCATAACAAAACAACTTTGATAAAGTATTTATTCACCTCCTGACCCTGTCTTCTAGTTATTTAAATAAACTTTTTAAAAAATGAATAAATTCTACATTGTAAACCTGAATGAATGTTCTCTCTCAAGATATGGAATTATATAAGACAAGCTGTACATTCTACTTTGGAAAATGATGAACAGAAAATGTATGATTGTATGTGGATAAGCATAAGAGACAGTAAAGTGAGCCTCACTGTGGCTGGATCCAGCAATGTAATCCAACATAAATTATAAATGTGTGCTTAGGAAAACATTCCAGCTCATCAACCTAAGTAACCAGTTGCCCATGCAAATACCTTACATTGATAGTTCCTCATTAGTGTTAAAGTAGGAGAAAATAACAAAAGAGAAAGGGAATCTCATCACACGCAATCCATTGCTTATTGCGTCCATATTTCGCAGCCTCTTTGAAGGTTTTATTTGTTTCCCTCCCTCTGCAAGGCAGCACATTCATAAGATTCTCCTGGATTTACATCTTATTTGGTGTTTCATTCAAATACGTTACTCTTCCTGTCTCTGAGAGATCCCCTGGAAAGGCCCCAAGAGACAGCTCTTGCCTGTGTGATAAGAAACGGCCGCTATGCGGCTGCCTGTGGCTCTCTCAGCTCTCCTTGATTTCCACTTAATCTCTTAAGAGACAGTGGAAAGTACAGAAAGAAGATAGAAATTTTCCATGAAGGGATCCTAGCAATGGCTAACCCAAGACGCTATGAAAATTAAATGAAGAATTCTGAGGAGAAGAATATATCTGGCTTCTGTGAAACTTCAGACCTTGAAAATACTCTATAGGACACTGAGGAATCCTGCCTTCTCTACAACAACACAAGATCAATTTGGCTGTAATTATTTAACTGCTTTATTTTAATTTTTACTGCCATAAAATTTAGATAGCTTGTACTCTTTCTTTTCCTTTTCACCTAAAAGCTTCACTGTCTGTCTGTTCATTATGGTCCTGAGGCAAATAGGGAATTCTGTCATCATTCCTAAAGCAATCTTATCCAGGAAGAATTATTTGTAAAATGATATAATACAATTTTATGTATTATATGGGTACCTGGAATAGTCAATTTCATAGTCATAGAAAATATCATGGTGGCCGTCAAGGACTGCATGAGGGGAGAATGAGACTTACTGCTTACTTAATGAGGGCAGCATTTCAGTCTGAGATGATGAAAATTTTCTGGAGATGCATAGCAGTGATAATTGCACAAGGTGATTGTAGTTAATGTCACCTTCCTGTACATTTAAAGATGGTTAAAATGGTAAACTCTATATTACATATATATTAGCACAATAAAATAAAGCAAACCAAAACAAGACATTGAATTTATTAAACAAATTCACTTTTCCCTAGTTGGTGTCCATCTGTAAAATACTGCATAGTTGGGCGTGGTGGCTCACGCTGCAATCCCAGCACTTCGGAACGCTGAGGTGGGCAGATCGTGAGGTCAAGAGATCAAGACCATCCTGGCCAAGATGGTGAAACCCCATCTCTACTAAAAATACAAAAAAATTAGCCAGGCATGGTGGCACGTGCCTGTGGTCCCAGCTACTCGGGAGGCTGAGGTTGAAGAATCGCTTGAACCCAGGAGGCGGGGGTTGCAGTGAGCCGATATTGCGCCACTGCACTCCAACCCGGTGACAGAGCAAGGCTCTATCTCAAAAAAAAAAAAAAAAAAATACTGCATAGTTCTCATGAGCTATTCATTTTCTATCTGCCTTACACTATAATGCACTATTGTGTCTCTGAATGAACTTCAGAAAGAAAAACTATTTTTAATCATTTACGATGTTTCATTTTATAAGTTCCAGAACTTATAACTTATCTTTTCTTTCTAAAATGTATACGCCTATCAGTGTATTTATAAATAAATCTTTGCTTTCTTTTTCTTATTATACCACACTAACAACCTTGGCCAGAAATTCAATTTTTTTAGCCAAAATCTTTTCAGGGAAAAGCAATGAGAAAAAAAGCATAAAATGGAGAATATAGATGGGAAAGAAAGATACGGACTTGTAATTGCCTGACATTTCCAAGAAGACTATATCTAGCTACTAAGAGGCTGTGTGCAACTGTAACTTTATAACAATTTAGAATATGGGTGTCCTGCTTAGCGACAAGCATAGTGGTCCCCAAAAGTTATCTCACTTTGACATCAAGTGAACCAGTGATCGAGGGCTATCTATTAACTTAAAGTTACATTTTAACCTTCCTCTTGTTTTATATTTGCAACTGGCTTAAATGTTCAGATTGCTCTGCAACATTTTTTTCTAATTTGCTCAGTTTTCATTACAATTAAATGTGAGCACA